GTGCCTGCGAGGGGGGAACCGATGAAAAGAGACTGACTAGCCCTCCATATTTCCTGAGAAAGTGCAAAGGTAAAGGTTAAGGCAGATTTAGTTTGACAGTGTACTGACTATTAGTTTGTGCAGCTAGGTCAGGGATTGGCAAACTACAATCCACAAGTCAAATGTGGCACCACCGGTTTTGGTACAGCGTGGGAGGTAAGAATGGCTTTTATATTTTTAAATGGTTGAAAAAAAATCAAAAGGATAATATTTCATAAGACATGAAAATTATATGAAATTCAAATTATAGTGTCCATCAACAATGTTTTATTGGCACACAGCCATACTCCTTTCTGATGCTGAACTAACTTTACATTCCAAGGATAACATTCATAAAGTAAACGAGCCTATACCGTTCCATTCTTGTGTAGTCTCTACCTTGTTTAGCAACAAGATTATTTTGGCCTCAGTACATAAGCTGTGCACAGCATTCACTCTTTCCATTTTCTGCAATAATTTGGATAAAATAGGAACTAACTGTTCCTTGAAAATTTGGCAGAACTCATCTGTAGACTCCATTTGGGCCTGAAGTTCTTTTGGGAGAAGAGGGTCTTTAACATTTCAATTGTTTAAAATTACTTACTGTCTTATTCATATTTTCTATTTCTTCTTATGCCAATTTTTGACATTTTATATTTAGGAATATATAGCTATTCACAAAACTATGTTATTTTAATAATTCTTTATTCTATATCATAGATATTTCTCCTATTTTGTTCTATATTTTATTTGTCTGCCTTAACTCATTTTTTTAATTAGTTTGCTAGCAATCTATTATTCTTATTATCTTCCCAAAGAGACAGTTTTTTGCTTTGTTAATCTCTCATAAACTCAATTTCAAAACTTAACATCATTTCCCTACACCAATAAAACTAAACAATGTGATAAAGAAGATACCATGCATGACAACCACAAAATAATAAGAGTTTAAGAATTAACCAAAAATATATAACCCTCCTCTCAAGAAAACATTTTTAAACTCTAACAAGACATAGAAGGTGATCTGGATAAATGGAGATAGGTTCTCCATGTTCCTGGGTGGGATAATTTGACATATCAATTCATCCCAAATTAACCTCTACATTTAATTAAATCCCCTTAAAAATCATAGTTATACTTTTTGAGGAACTCAGTAGACATCTTCTAAAATTTCTATGAAAGAATAAAGGTCCATCAATAGCTACATTAACTTTGAGTAAAAAAGGAACAAGAGGGACCTAGCCTACCAGCTATTAAGAAATACCACAAAACCAGAGGGATAAAAGAGGTGGCCTTACCACAAGAACACGTAAAAAGACGAACGCATCAGAACAGAGTTTAGAGACAGATCTGTGTGCCCTGAGAACAGACTACACAAAATAGGTGGCACTACAAACCAGGGAGGAAACGAGCGATGTTTTAGTGGATGGTGTGGGAAAAATTGGCTTGCTATATGAGAGGAAGAAAAAATGTACCTAGAATCCTACCTAACACCAAATACAAAGATAAACTCTAGACGAGGGGGCAGATTATGACCTGAAGGCCAGGTAACTGTTTTGGTAAATAAAGTCTTATTGGAAAAGGCCATGCTTATTCATTTACATATGCCTATGGCTGCTTTTATTCCAAATGGCAGAGCTGAACAGCTGTGAATAAAGACCAGCTGCCCTGAAAAGTTCAAAGTATGTATTATCTGGCCCTTTAAGAAAATGTTTGCTGACTCCTGCTCTAGATGAATTAAAGACCTTCATATAAAAGGCAAAACTATAAAATTAACAGAAGAAAATATATCAGATTATCTTTTGACCCTGGTGTGGGGGAGAACTTCTTAAATAAAACTCTAAATTATAAACTATAAGGCAAAAAACTCTTTAAGCTGATTACATAGAAATTAAGGGTTTCTGCTCAATAAATAATATCAATGATCAAGGTAACTGATAATAGACTGAGAGAAGTTATTTGCAAAGTCCAAAACCAAAAGGAGACCAATATCTCTAATATATATCAAGAAACACCTATAATTTAATAAGGAAACAAGAACCTCAAAAGAAAATTGTGCACAGAATTTAAAGAAGCAATGTGCAGGGGAAAAAATCTAAATACATAATAAGCATAGGAAGAGTTGTTCAAACTCATTAGTAATCAGAGAAATGCAAATTAAACTAACATAGAGATGTCACTTTATACCTTCAGACTTGCTAAAATTAGACAGCTATATAATGCCATTCCTTGACATTATACAGAAACTTAGTTTCTCTCAATTCTGCTATTAACCATCAATACTACTAACTAAATAAAAAATCACTGCATTCTGGAAATAAAAGCTAAGAAGTAGCAAAATATAATGGATATGCATCTATATTCAGTCAGTATCTTATTCAATACACATATTCAGCAATTGTTCACTGAACTGAATACGCAGCTATGAATGCGCTGGCACTCACAAATTGCATTAAGAAAGTAAATACAGGGAAATATTCACATTGGCTAATTTTTTTAATTCAAGTGTTTGCAGGTCAGAAAATTAACCAAAAGAAAATATAATGTTTTATTGCTAACCTGGATACAAATTTTTACTTGAAATTATGTCAGACTTATATTCCTAAGGATTTTAAAATATAATATTGCAGTTTCTAAAATCCTTGGCTTATTTACTCTTGACTGAATTGAAAGTATACACTACCTACTTTCAGTTATGTAAATGGAAGGAGAATGATATTTCTCCTGCTCTCTTTAAAGTTTAACAATAATTATGCCAATAAACACACAGACACAACCCTACTCACAACTTCTGAACGAGCTGTTCCCTCTTCCTTCCTCCTCTCGTCACGGTTCCACAATTACACCAGCACCCAGCATCGAAAGTCCTGGCATCCTAGCACGTCTCTTTGTATGCCACCACAGTAAAGAATAACTAATGTGGATATTTTCCTCTGCCAGAGTCCTGACATCAGCCCCTCTTTCCAGCCCACGGCCACTACTCTAGTTCAGAGCCCAGCCTCAAACTCAGACCGCAGTCAACGCCTCTTAATTCCTCTTCCTCCCCGTTTTCTCCCTCTTCCCTCTCCCCTTTCTTCCTTCCTTTCCTCTGCTCTTCCTCACTACACCCATCCACTCACCCGGTATTTCTTGAGTATCTATCATGTTCCAGGTCCTGTTTTATTGTTGGGGATACAGCAGTGATGAAGACAGACAGGTCTCTGCTCTTTCAGAATTGTTTCTTGGTTCTTCGAATATATTCTATATTCAGCTATTAAAACAAATTTTCCCTCTGAACTGCTTTTGCCCCTTGCCAACTTCATTCAAAAATATCTACTTGTAGGGGCTGAGCCCGTGGCCCAGTGGTTAAGTTTGCACGCTCCGCTGCAGGCGGCCCCGTGTTTCGTTGGTTCGAATCCTGGGCCCGGACATGGCACTGCTCATCAAACCACGCTGAGGCAGCGTCCCACATGCCACAACTAGAAGGACCCACCATGAAGAATACACAACTATGTACCGGGGGACTTTGGGGAGAAAAAAGAAAAAGTAAATAAATAAAATCTTCAAAAAATAAATAAATAAAGTTAAAAAAAAAAATCTACTTGTTTTCCATGGCATGCAGAATAAAAGTCCAAACTTCCCAGCTGACCTTCCAAGATCCTCTTGCATCTGGCTCCATTCTATCTTTCCAGCTGAATCTCCCACTACTTCATGACGCATATCCTGTGGCTCAGCTGAACCTGAGTACTGGTTCTAAACCCTATCAATGGCAAAACAGATGAGGTACCATAGGATAAAGTTACAGGCTGACTGCAGCAACAACAAAAACCTAGCACAAGATAACACAGAAAAAACAAACAGTGAATCAAGAAAGGGTGCAAAATGGACTACTCACTGCTTCCCCAAACTATCTTTTGATTCTCTCATCAGTGCCGTAGGACACACCCAGAGACACGGGAGCAGGGCTTTCCTCTCAAGGCAAGGTATATCAGTCACTCTGGGAAAAGGCGACAGTGGGACACAAAAGGAGGGGGGGCTTTGAACTGCAGAAGAAAAGGACTTCCTCTGGGGCTAAGAACCAGCTAGAAAGGAAGAAGTCCTTCTTGAAGAGTCTCAAAATAGATCCAGTGGGAACCGTGAGCTGCCCCAGACCTATGGAAGTAGGCCAGAAGCAAACAGCAATATAAGCCTCATTCATTGGCAGCGACAGAATCAACAGCAGCATAGAGACGCAGCCAGTTTCCGGCAGAAGCAGACTAAGCAAGCAGCTGTGGCACCCTCCAGTCTCAACAGGATGCGTCTAAGCTCTGGCTCCACCAGCACAGCAGAATCCAGAACTCACTCTTTGAACCCAAGGCTGGAGGTGAGGCTCAAGCACAGTGTCAAGAGGAGAAGGCCAGAGGGAACAAACCCAAAGACTTGTATGAAATGCTCACGAGGCAGCACAGTAGAAAACTTGCAAATAGCTACAGGACACTCTAAAGTGGCTAATTTCTAGTAGCCACTTTATTTCTACTTCTATTAATAATAATTTACCTTCTTTCATAATAATTTGTGTATAAGACGGAAGTGTAATTTTATTTTGTAGTCACAGGCAGATGACATAGAGGACCTGAGGGCTATAATTTCATTTTTTAATGACAATTATCGCTGTCATATTTGTGTGCCTATCTCTCTCCCTTTCTAGATAGTGAGCTCCTTTAAAAAGCAGAAACTACATCCACTATAAGATAAATTTTCCCATGAATTTCCTTGCCCCTTGCCAATTTTTACAAGTTTTTTCCATTTCCCACAAAACCTTGAGTGATGAGCCTTCAGAGAGAAGCACAGAAACTGTTAATGAATAAATGAACTCACCTTCACCTTCTAGGTGAAGTGTGATTAGTGCAGAAAAACACTCTACAGGAAAGGTTACACTAAGGTTACATGTGCAATAAGAACAATGTTACCAAATCAGAAGTGCATATAAAATGATGTCCTTAAACAAAACAAAATCAACTTACTAGTAATCATCGCTCCAGTTACAGAAGCCAGAAATCCGATGCTGACTGCGACGACAGAGATCACTCTGCCCTGCCGGTGCCTCTGCAGCATGACAAACATCAGCACTCCAGCAGCACCATGGACAAACAGCGAGGAGAAGAGAGCCCACAGAAAGATCCAGTACCACATCTCTGAAAGGAAAAGCAAAGCATTAATAATTTCGCTGAAAAACACCTCAGAAAGTGCAGTTTAACAAACAGCGAGCATCTAGGGTTTGGGGGAGGCTAAGCGAGATAGATATAAAAATACTGGTGTAGTACCCGACACACAGTAGTACTAAAGAAATTTTAATCATTATCATCATCACTAATACTTGATGGAGAAAATAATTCCATGGCTTCAGAAGGTTAAGGCTATACTCTAATTTCTAATTTTCTAAATGTTCCCATCATAGAGCTATAATCCACCAAATAGTCTAATAAACCCCTAATATATTGCAAATCTCTTGGAATAAATTATATAAGTTAACTAACAGCTATTTGATATATAACTTCCTATTTTCTACACTAAATGACAGTTAAGACATTTTTAAAAACTACCCCTTAATTCAAATCACTCCAGAAATCAGTCAATGATTTTATCTTTTATGATTTTAAGAATTTCAGGCTGGGGCCAGGCCCACGGCCAAGTGGTTAAGTTCATACACTCTGCTTTAGCAGCCTGGGGTTCACCGGTTCAGACCCTGGGTGCAGACCTACACACCACTCATCAAGCCATGCTGTGGCAGCACCCCACATAGAAGAACTGGAATGACGTACAACTAAGATATACAGTTATGCACTGGGGCTTTGGGGAGAAAAAAAAAAAGAGGAGGATTGGCAAAAGATGTTAGCTCAGGGGCCAATCTTCAAAACAAAAAGAACTTCAGTGAATTCCCCTCTTGGCTCTCAACTTCATACACTAAAGAATCAGTTACAATTTTTTTTTTTAGTTCTTTGCCTCAGGTCATCTTTATAGTCCTCACCCAGAACTTTTCAAGCTCCATCATTCTTCCTTCAACGTATCCTCAATCACTGTTCATTAAAGTTTAGTTTACAGACAGTTGACAAGAACACCTTTCCTTTCTATCTTTCCAGCATTCATTCCCCATCTGCCTGGCTACCTGCTGCCTCCCAGTCAACCCATACAGCTCTGGGAGATACTGCCAGTCCTTGCACTGACTCCATCTCCCCGACCATGCTTGTGGTGAGGCCCATCAGGACAGGTAATTGATCCAAGCTGGGCCAGTCGTTCCCTCCCCTGGGAATTCTGGATTGGAATCAAGCGAGCACCTCAGTCTTTGGGTAGCTGAAGCTGAAAGGCTCAGGATTTGTGAACAGCCATTTCATCATCCTGGGATGAAAGCCATGATAGAGGATGAAAGAAAACAGATCCATCAAAGGCAAGAGACAATCGAGTTCCTTATTCCAGTGATTCCTAAGGCCCTGACACATTACTACCCTTAGATTCAATGTAACACCCCAGTTTCTTCGTAAATAAAATCCCTCTTTTTATTTAAACTAGTTCAAGTAAGGTTTCTACTACTTATAGCTGAAGGAATTAACTCCAAAACATTTAGATGTCACCTTCAGGATCATCCTTGGTATGCAAAACTTCTATAAAAGAAAATATCTCACCTGCTATTTGTGCTAATATTCACTTTCCATCGAGTGTAAAGGAAAGATCAATAAAATAGTCATGAAATAAACAGAACAAAAACGGATGAATTAAAACAGTTACAAAACATCATTAAAGTACAGATATATACTGATGATGGGAATGTAAAATAGAGCAGCTGCTATGGAAAACAGTGTGGCAGCTCCTCAAAAAATTACAAAAAGAATTACCATACGACCCAGCTATTCCACTGCTGGGTATATATCCACAAGAATTAAAAGCAGGATCACAAAGAGATATTTGCACACCCATGTTCATAGCAGTATTCCCAGCAGCCAAGAGGTGGAAGCAACTCAAGTGTCCATCAACTGATGAATGAATAAACAAAATATGGTATATACATACAGTGGAATATTATCCAGCTTTAAAAAGGAAGGAAACCTTGTCACGTTATCACATGGGTGAACCTTGAGGCCATTATACTAAGTGAAATAAGCCAGTCGCAAAAGGACAAATATTGCATGATTCCACTTATAGGAGGTACCCAGAGCAATCAAATTCATAGAAACAGAAATGGTGGTTGCCAGGGGCCTGGGGGAGAGGGAAATGGGTAGTCGTTGTTTAATGGGGACAGAGTTTCAATTTTGCAAGAGGAAAAAGATGTGGAGATCAGTTGCAAAACAATGTGAATATACTTAAGACTAGTGAACTGTACAAGTAAAAAATTGGTTAAGGTGGTAAATCTTACGTTATGACATTTAAAAAAAATAAATGTAATGTTTTAAAAGGATAGATATAAATTTAAAATATAATTAATGTCTAGGTATTTAAAAGCCAAAACAAAAAAACTCTCTTAAGAAAGGAAGGAAGGTGTGGTTATAAAAGGATAACACTAAGACCTTTGTGGCAACGGAACTATTCTATATTTTGATTGTGGTGCTGGATACATATACAAGTGATAAAATTGTATAGAACTAAATACACACACATGAATGAATACAAGTATACAATCCCAGTAAAATCTGAATAAGCTTGGCGCATTGTACCAATGTCAATATCCTGGTTTTGAGATTATACTGTGGCTTTTTAAGATGTTCCCATTGGGTAAACTGGGCAAAGGGCACACGGGATCTCTGCATTACTTCTTACAACCACATGTGAATCTACAATTATCTTAAAATAAAAAGTTTCATTTAAAAAAAAGGAAGTGAGGAAACGCAGAAAACAGATTTTTTTAAAAAACCAGTTTCACTCTGCCAAATTCTTAAGAATTGACACTTAGAATGGAATCAGATAATCTGAAATCATGTCAAGGAAGACACATCTGATATATTTTCCAATGTGTGTTCAAGTCCCATGCATGCTTCTCACCAGCATAAGAGACAGATGCTGGCGATGTAGGAAAGAGAGACAAAGCTCGCCTTTCAGAGGTTTTTCTCTTCCTGCTTTCAGGGAAACAGTGCTTTCCTGCTGTCACTCCCAAACAAAGGGCTTCAATTTATAACAAACGAATGAAAGAAAAAAAGGCCTAATTTGCTCAGAAGATATTTATATTTTGAAAGATAGACTTTTCCAAAGTGAACCTAACAGTGAGAGTATAATGGAGTAGTAACATACGGGGGGGCATGCTCATGAAGGGAGCTCTGGGGTGGGGAAAAGCCCTGCCACAAACACATCCTCCTGATAAGAGAAGTCCATGATATGCCTTGTGTCCAAGCCCACTTCTGACAGCTTATCAGATCTACCCCGAAAAGTACTCTTCCTTCTTGCTCATGTAATGCAAGAAGCGTGAAAAATTTCTTGACTACATTTAACATTATGAATGAAGGGTTATTTGACATTATGTAACATTGTTTGCCTACTGTCTGCATAGGTATTGACCTCGACAATAAATTTATCTAATAAACTGGAAAACTAAATTTTAAGTTTAATGTTTTATAAAAATCCAAGATATGAAAGAATTATGCAACTAAAATAGAATCTCAAACGGTCTTCTAATGACCAGTCCAGAATTATCCCTCAAGCAGACTGAGCACAAAGAAACCACCTAAACTCAAATTTACTTTTATGTTTCTTTTTCTTTTCTTAAATCATCCTGCTTATCATGGGAAAAACTGAACTCTGCTGAGAACATCTACAATTAATTTAGGTTTCATGTTATTACTATCATTTTGAATTACCTGATGGATCAACACAACCCTGTTGGTGAACAGGACCGCTGAAGATCTTGACTTACTCTGGACAAACAAGTCTGTCTGAGGTCCTACTGACTATTGGCAAACACAGGAAACCTACCGGCTCGGTCCAGGTGAAGAGAATGGCAGCATCCTAATAGAAGAGCAAGAACAGATGCCCAAGAGCCCTAGAGAAAAAACAGGTACCAAGAGGACAGAAGGGAACATCATCACCTTTTCTTAAACTCTCTAGGCCGTACAACTAACATGACCACCCAGAGGCCCACAGTTTTTTCCTTTTACCCATGGAAAGAAATCCAAGCTAATCCAAGCTTAGCAATTAAGAAACAATGAATGGAGGAAGTCAGAGGCAGACTTGGCTAGTGCAAAATACCAAACACAATTTTAAAAATACAATGCACAGAACAGAAACTTTGAAACATGCCCTCCATGCAATCCCAGTCCTTCACGGGGAGGAGAGACCCTTTCTTCTGGGCACATCTCCTAAAGCCCGTTCATTCTCTTTCCCTCTTCAAGGCTGCCTGTAATCTTCATCTTATCCGGGTTTTGCCTGGATTTTTGCAGTGTTTTGTTTACCTTTTAGTGGGATAAGAGGCAGGAGAGCTGTGATTTGTTCCAGCCTCCAAACAATACTAGAAATAGCCCCACTCTCAGTCGGTCTCTCTCATCAGCCCTGGTTGCCAAGCCACTCAAAAATCATCTTCTGTGCTTTTGCTTTTAACCCTTGCACAAAACTATTTATGAAGGTTGAATTTTTCTAGATGTCTAGAAGATATTAACTGAGCAAAAACAAGTCAAAGAATGGCACATATTGTTTTATCCTATTTGTTTAAAAAAATTATATGTTTATATATGTACAGAAAATGCATAAACAAACAGAAGACTTAACAATGGCTATCTTTTAAAGATATGATAGGAGGTGTGTGATATTATTTTATATATTCTTTACTGTTTGTTTTTTAACAACTAGCCTAAAATATTTTTTAAAAATGTTTACTGCAAATATACTGTCTTTAAAAAGTAGTTTTTTATTCTGTAATTCATCAAAGCCAATGGTTCTCAACCCAGGCTGCTCACAAGAATTATCCATAAAGCAACTAAAACAACCTCTGCAGGTGGGACCCAAACAACTGTATTTTCATCAATTCTACCAAATAATCATAACACGCAATAGAGACAAAAATCACTACTGCAGGCTAAAGTTACATGAGGGGTATTTATTAAAAAATCCAAAAGTCATAAAAACAAGGAAACCTACCTCATTAGACAAGCACTAAATATGTTTTTTGATCCTCTATAGAGTATCTAATCCTTTTAATAAAATCATTCGCAAATAGATA